TAAAAAAAAAAAAAAAAAAGACACTCATGTGACCAGTAAACAAACATGAAAAAAAGCTCAACACACTGATCATTTGAGAAATCAAAAATACAATGACACATCATCTCATGCCAGTCAGAATGGCAATTATTAAAAAGTCCAGCAACAACAGATGCTGGCGAGGTTATAGATAAAAAGGAATGCTTATACACTGTTGGTGGGAATGTAAATTAATTTAACCATTGTGGAAGACAGTATGGCAACTCCTCAAAGATCTAGAGGTGGAAATACCATTTGACCCAGCAATCCCATTACTGGGTATATACCCAAAGGAATATAAATCATTCTATTATAAAGATACATGCATGGATATGTTCATTATAGCACCATTCACAATAGTAAAAACATGGAATCAACTCAAGCACCTATCAATGATAGACTAGATAAAGAAAATGTGGAACATATATACCATAGAATACTATGCAGCTATAAAAAGGAATGAGACTATATCCTTTTAAGAGACATGGATGGAGCTGGAAGCCATTATCCTCAGCAAACTAATGCAGGAACAGAAAACCAAATACAGCATATTCTCACAAGTGGGAGCTGAACGATGAGAACACATGGACAGATGGAGGGGAGAAACATATGCTCTGGGGGCTGGGGGAAGGAGAGCATCAGGAAGAATAGCTAATAGATGGTTAGCTTAATACCAAAGTGGTGAGTTACCAAAGCAGCAAAACACCATGGCACACGTTTACCTATATAACAAAGGTTTGTTACATAGGTAACAAAATAAAATAAATGTTGGAACTTAAAATAAATGTTGAAGGAAAAAAATAAAACAAAATAAATAAAATAAAATGCTGCCACCCTATCTCCCAGGAAGAAATGCCTTCCTAGATGAGAATCAAAATCAAAGACAGGCCCAGTGTGGTGGCTCACACCTGTAATCCCAACACTTCAGGAGGCTGAGGCAGGAGGATTACATGAAGCCAGTAGTTCAGGATCAGCCTGAGCAACATAGCAAGACCCTATCTCCATAAAAAATTTTAAAACTGGCCAGGCATGGTGATGCCCGCCTGTGGTCCCAGCTACTCAGGGGGCAGGAGGATCACTTGAGCCCAAGAGTTGGAGGCTGTGGTAAGCTATGATCACACCACTGTGCTCCAGCCTGTGTGACAGAGCAAGACTCTACCTAAAAAAAAACAAAGCAAAGGCACAGTAATCACATAAAATTTAATGACTAATGATGGTAATATTAAAATTAGTATTAGACATTTCCTATAGGAAGAATTCAGTTATTAGTTGTTGCTAATATTGAAAATAAATAATGAAACTAGGGAACTATATCATGGATTAGTGCCTGTAACAATGTTAATGACTACTTAATGAAGATTGTTAAAATTAGAATATCTCAGAAATAACAATTTTCAATTTAATTTTCATCCCTTCTGACATTCAAACCACCTTTTATCCAAAACTTACGTGGTGTAGACATTTTTGCAAGGATAGGAGTCACAATTTCTTGCAGTTGTTGTCTCTGCTCAAAAAGCTCATTAATGGAAGCCTCTGCATGGGTTTCCAACCACTCGTTTTTTGCACGGCATGCACTGAGGATGGTATTCTAGGGACAGAAATACAGAGTTTACTCTCCACTTATTTATTGAAAAATAAAACTCAACAGTATCTCTAAACCCGCACTGTCCAAGAGAACTTTCTGTGATGATAGAAATATTCTATACCTGCATCGTCCAATACAGTAGCCATTAGATACAAATAGCTATTTCGGCACTAGAAGTGTGGCTAGGGTGACTAAGGAACTACATTTTCAATTTCATTTAATTTTAAATAATTCAAATTTGAATAGTCACATGTGGCTAGTGTCTATTATATTGGACAGTGCAGCTCTAACATTAGTGAATATGAGCACAATAAAACTCATCATCAGGAGTCATGAAGCCTGGCACCAGTCTATACTTCCTCCCTAATTCTTTATTTTCATTAAGCCCTGTGACTAAAAGAAGTACTTGGACAGGCCAGAAAAGAATGGGTGGACGGTATGAGTTGCATGCAACTCAAAAGACAATGCTGATATTTTATTCCTTCTCAAATGATTCACAGAAGTTCAAGAAATACAAGAAAAGCTCCACCTTACTGAAAACCTCTCAGTTTGCATTGTAAAATCATCTCATTGTACATATGCGGCAAATTTCTGATGTCTGATTTAAGATGTTTATAGTACTATGGTTTGTAATAATGAAGATAAATAAATACATTTGTGGTGTGTCCTGTCCACACTGTTAAATAATAAGCAGTCATATATGCAGAAGTATGTAGAAGGAAGTGGGCTTAGAGGGTGTCCATAATATCTTATTAAGAAGAAAAAAACAAAATTATACAATTATATATAAGTGTGATCCCACTTTTATAAAAACAAAATCTTTCATAAAATTCCTATTATGTGTATAGATACATATGATTACATAAGTGAAAGAGAAAACATGGTACAATTAACACAAAATCGTTATCAGAACCACAAAGTAGGCAATAAGATTAGAAATAGAAAAGGAAAAACTATTATGTTTGCTTTAGACATTTCGATTTTTTCTAATTATTACTATGTATACACAATAATTTCTAGTTCAAATAATCAAATTTTTTAAAATTAAAATAAAAATTTTTTAGTAACTAGTTTGACAAAGCACTATTTCTTTGTGCCAGAAAAATTTTGTTTTGAAGATCTGATAGCTTCAAAGGCTATTCTAATAGAATTTTGCCTACATTTTGTTTGTTTCACAAGAGATTTTGTAGAGTACTCTACAAGACACAAGTGTAATGTGTAACTTATCAAGTGCTCAGATTTAGTGACATCGTACACTTTTAGCAATACCTATTCTTTTTCATCTGAATAACAGGTCACAGGAAATTCACAGAGCATCCTGCATGAGAATATAGGAAATAACTTAAAATCAAAACACATTTCTGATACCTTGAGTATATTTTTTAAATGTACAGTCAGAGCAATAAAACTATTCCACGGGGAATGCTTAGATCTAGTACTTAGATATGTGGGAAGTGGGCTTTAAAATTGCTATGTTTACAGCTATGTATCTTTTTTTCTCATTCTGGAAAATTTGATACATTAAAGAATATGCAGTGTATTTGTGTATATACATATATACTAAAATATATAATGTATATCTCAGTTTTGAAGCAAAATAATGAAATGAACATTTCCATTTTATTATTTTGGACCCTACTACTCAGCAAAAGAGCCAGAAGGCTACCAGTACTATTAATGCAGCTTCTGTCCCTCCCCATCCCACCTTCTTGCCTGCCTTCAAGAAATAACTATGATCTGTGCTTGCCCCCTTTGCTCGGCTTCTTAAACAGTTTTACTCCTAAATGTAGGTATCCCTAAATTATATAGTTTGATATTGCTTGTTTTTGAGCTTGATCAAAATCTATGTAGTCTTTGATTAGCTTTTTTTTTTTTTTTTTTTTACTCAATATTACATTTCTACGATTCAGACATGTTGCTGGGTATGATACTACATCTCTATGTCAGTCTTTAATACTATTTCTTTTCGTTTTGATCAGACTATCCTCTATTAGTAGTTTATAAAAAAAAGAAGGGAAGGTAGGAGGGCAGAAGGAAAGAAAGAGGGAGGAGGGAGGAAGTAAGGGCCACGATCTGCCTTTAAAACAAAACAACAGTGTGGAAATTAAACTGTAAGACAAAAGTCTCAAAGCACTTCAGAACAAGCAATAATCACAGTACAGTACCTTGTCTTCCTTAAGGAGCTTCCCTGATCCCTTTTCAGTGTCAGTAACGGCTAAAGAGACTTTTGCAATATATTTTTTCAGAGTCAGCCTTGCATCTGAAAGAATGGACAGAAACACACACAATGACAAGACAAAGACAAGAGGCAGGGCAAGACAGTCAAATGGAAGCCTCCAGTGTCCACCCCACCCAACAGAAACACCAAATTGAACAACTGCCCATACAAAAAAGCACCATCATGAGAACCAAAAATCAGATAAGCCATCACAGGACCTCATTTTAACATCAGACTAAGGGAAGAGGCACTGAAGAAGGTAGGAAAGACAGTCTCAAACTGCCTTTACCGCACTTTCTCTGTACCCTTGGCAATAGTCACATGGTGCAGACAGAGAATCTGTACGCTTCGGAGAGGCAGAGCACAGTGATTGTGGGACTTTGCACTATAGTTCAATGCTTCCCTGTCATACTGAGAAGCAACATCGGGCAGAATTCAGCTAGCACCCATGAAGGAAACATTTAGACCAGCCCTAGCCAGGGGGGAAGCACACATCCCAGCAGTTGGAACCTGAGTTCCAGCAGGCCCCACCACTACAGGCTAAAGTGCTATGGGGTTCTAAATAAACTTGAAAAGTCATATAGGTCATGAGAGCTGCAATTCCTGGGCAAGTCCTAGTGCTGTGCTGAGATCAGAGCCAGTAGACTTGGGATGCACAGGACCTAGTGAGACACCAGCCTGAGTGGCCATGAGAGTGCTTGCTACCACCCCCTGCCCATCCTAGGGAGCACAGCTTACAGCTCTGGGAGAGACTCCTTCCTTCTGCTTGAGAAGAGAAGGAAAAGAGAATAAGACTTTGTCTTGCAACTTGGATACCAGCTCAGCCACAGTAGAATAGGACACAAGGCAGAGTCCTTAGGTCCCCTTTCCAGGTCCTAACTCCAAGGTGACATTTCTAGACATACCCTGGGCCAGAAGAAAACCAGCTGCCTTGAAGGGAAGGACCCAGTCCTGGCAGGATTCATCATCTGCTGACTGAAGAGCCCTTGGGTCCTGAATAAGCAGCAGTGATACCCAGACAGTACTCACCATGGACCTTTGGTGAGACTCAGAGCCATGCTGGCTTCAGGGGTGACCCAGAACATTCCTCAGCAATAGTAACTATGGGGAGAGACACCTTCTGCTTGACAAAAGGAGAGGAAAGAGTAAATGGGACTTTGCCTTGCAACTTGAGTACCAGCTCAGCCACAGTGGGGTAGCACACCAAGCAGGATCCTGGGGTCCCTGATTCCAAGCCTTGGCTCCTGGAGGGCATTTCTGGGCCGGGCCTGGAACAGGGGAGAGCCTGCTGACCTGAAGAGAGGGGCCCATGCTTGACAGCATTCACCACAGGCTGACTGTAGAGCCCTTGGGCCTTGAGTGAGTATCAGCAGTATCCAGGTGGTACTTGCTGTGGGCCTGGGCAGTGGTGGCCACAGGGAGAGACTACTCTGCTGGAAGAAAAGGGAGGGGAAGAGTAGGAAGGACTTTGTCTTATGGCTCGGGTGCCAGCTCAGCTGCAGTAGAATAGAGCACCAGGTAGATTCCTAAGGTTCTTGACTCCAGGACTTGACTCCCAGATGGCATCTCTAGAGCCACCCAGGGCCTGGGAGACCTTGCTGCCATGAAGGGAAGGACGCAAGCCTGGCTGTATTTGCCAACTGTTTATTGCAGGTCATTAAGCCTTGAGTGACTATAAGCAATAACCAGGCAGTGGTCACCATAGGTCTTGGGTAAGACCCAGTGCTATGCTGGCTTCAGATCTGACCCAGGGCAGCCCCAGTGGTGGTAGCCACATGGGTGCTTGTGTCACCTTTCCCCCAGCTCTAAGCAGCTCAGTGCAGAGAAAGAGAGACTCCGTTTGTTTAGGGGAAAGTAAGAAAAGAACTGCTGCCTGATAATCCAGGGCATTTTCCCTGGTCTTACCCAAGACCACCAAGACCGTATCTCTACAAGTCTGCAAGAGCCACAACATTACTGAGCCTTGGGTGCCTCCTAATGCAGATATGGCTAGAGTAACCAAAAACTTATAATAAGATCATAATAAGTCCCTTCAAATACATAAGAAAGCCTTCCCCAGAAGGACAGGTACAAACAAGCCCAGACTGCGATAACTACAATAAATACCTAGCTCTCGAATGCCCAGATGCTGATGAACATCCACAAGCGGGAAGATCAGTCAGAAAAACAGGACCTTATCAAACAAACTAAATAATGCCCCAGTGACCAATCCCAGAGTGAAAAAGATATGTGATCTTTCAGACAGAGAATTCAAAATAACTATTTTGAGGAAACTCAAAGAAATTCAAGGTAACACAGAGAAAGAAATCAGAATCCTATCAGATAAAATTAACAAAGAGTTTGGAACAACTTAAAAGAATTAAGCAGTAATTCTGGAGCTGAAAAATGCAACTGACATACCAAACAATGCATGACAGTCTCTTAACAGTAGAATTGAACAAGCAGAAGAAAGAACTAGTAAGCCTGAAGACAGGTTATTTGAAAATGCAGTCAGAGGGGACAAAAGAAAAAAATATATAAAACAATGAAGCACTCCTATAAGATCTAGAAAATAGCCTCAAAAGGGCAAATCTCAAAGTTACTGGCCTTAAAGAGGAGGTAGAGAGAGATCAGGGTAGAAAATTTATTCAAAGGAATAATAAAAGAACTTCCCAAACCTAGAGAAATATATCAATATTTAAGTACTAGAAGATTATAGAACACCAAGCAGTTTTAGCCCAAAGAGACTACCTCAAGGCATTTAATAATCAAACTCCCAAAAATCAAGGATAAAGATCCTAAAAATAGCAAGAGAAAAGAAACAAATAACATATAATGGAGCTCCAATACATCTGGCAACAGCCTTTCTGTGGAAACCATACAGGCCAGGAGAGAGTAGCATAACATATTTAATGTGCTGAAGGAAAATAACTTTTACCCTAGAACAGTATATCCAAGAAAATATCCTTCAAACATATCAGAGAAATAAAGACTTTCCCAGGCAAACAAAAGCTGGGGAATTTCATCAACACTAGACCTGTCCTAAAGGAAATGCTAAAGAGAGTTTTTCAATCTGAAAGAAAAGGATGTTAATGAGCAATAAGAAATCATCAGAAGATACAAAACTCACTGGTAATAGTAGGTACACTGAAAACCACAAAATACTACAACACTGTAATTCTGGTGGGTAAACTACTTATATTTTGAATAGAAAGACTAAAAGATGAACCTATCAAACATAATAATTTTCAAGACATAGACAGTACAATAGGATATAAATAAAAACAAAAAAGTTAAAAGTTGGGAGGGAAATTAAGTGTAGTTTTTATTTTATCTTTGCTTGTTTGTTTATACGATCTATGTTAAGTTGTCATCAGCCTAAAATAACGAACTATAAGATACTATTTGAAAGTCTTATGGTAATCTCAAATCAAAAAACATACAACAAAGCCGGGCGCGGTGGCTAACAACTTTAATCCCAGCATTTTGAGAGATCAAGACAGGCAGATCACTTGAGGTCAGGAGTTTCAGACCAGCTACTAACAATACAAAAATTAGCCAGGCGTGGTGGCGCATGCCTGTAATCCCAACTCTAGGAAGGCTGATCACTTGAAGGAGGCAGAGGTTGCAGTGGGCCAAGATTGCACCACTGCACTCCAACCTGGGCAACAGAGTGAGACTCTATTTCAATTAAAAAAA